GGAGTTTAGCTCATTTTATTATGCTGCAAATGGATTAAGAGTTACTTATCTCTACTATTTACTTACTTTAGTTATAATCAGTGATCGTAGTTACTTGGCTTAGTATAATCCAGTGATCATAGTTACGTAACATTCTGCTTAGTTACACATCAGTGATTCCGTAGTTACTTTCTTAAGTTATAATTCAGTGATCGTAGCTTACTTGCTTAGTTATAATCAGTGATCATAGTGTAGACTTTGCTTAGCCTCTAAATTTCACGCTGATTGCGTGAGTTACTCGTGCTTAGTTATAATCAGTGATCGTAGTTTACTCTTGCTCTACGTTATAATCTTCTGCGGTCGTCCATCAGTGAGTTGTAGCTTAAACTCTCCTCTAGTTTATATCGTGAGTCGTAGTTACTTCGCTTAGTTATAATCAGTGACATAGTTCCCTTGCTTTAAGTGTATAATCGTGTTCATAGTCTACTTGCTTAGTTATAATCAGTGGATCGATAACGTTACTTGGCTTAGTCTTATAAAACGAAGTGATCGATAGTTCACTTGCTTAGTTAACTAATGCAGTGATCAATAGTTACTTGTCTTAGTATAAGAATCAGTGGATTGTAGTTACTTTGCTTAGTTATTAGATTCAGTGATCACAGTTACCTTGCTTAGTTATAATCAGTGATTGAGTTACTTGCTGGAGTTATAATCAGTGATCTGTAGTTACCTGTGCTTAGTTAATATCCAAGTGATCAACAGTCTAACTCTGCTCGTAGTTTACATCAGTGATGCATTGATTAGCTTGCCGTTAGTTAATAATCAAGCTGATTGTAGTTTAGCTTGCTTAGTTATAATCACGTGGATCGTAGTTTATTGCCTTAGTTATGAATCAGTGATCATAGTTATCTCGTGCTTAGTTATAAACAGTGATCATAAGTTACTTGCTTAGTTACTATATCAGTGAATCGTGAGTTACTTGCTTTATTTTATAATCAGTGATCATAGTTACTTGCTTAGTTATAAATCAGGAATGATCCTACGGCTCTACGTTGCCTTTACGTTATAAAATCAGTGATGCATAGTTACTTGCTTAGTTATAATCAGTGAATGCATATGTTCTACTTGCTTAGTTATAGACTCCACTGATCCACCCAGTTACTCTGCTAGTTTATACATCAGTCGATCATAGTTACTTGGGCGTTAGGGTTACTAATCGAGTGATGTGTAGTGGTATCTTGCTTAGTTATGAACGCCTCAGATCAGTGATAGCAGTTAGACCTTGGCTTAGTGTATCAATTCCAGTGATCATAGTTACTGTGCTTAGTTATAGATCAAGGGGATGCGTAGTTACTGTGCTATAGTTATAGGATCAGTGATGTCATCAGTTACTTGCTTAGTCTATAGGATCAGTTGTTTCATGATGTTACTTGCTTGAGTTATAATCAGTGATCAATAATTACTGCTTAGGTTATAATCAGTGATTCATAGTTACTTTGCTTATTGTATAATCAGATGTTCATAGTTAACTTGCTTAGTTATAATCAGTATCAATAGTTACATGCTTAGTATGAAATCAGGTGATCATAGTACTTGCTTAGTTATAATCAGTGACATAGTACTTTGCTTTAGATTATATAGTCAATGATGTGTATGATTGTTACTGCTTAGTTATAATCCAGTGGATACAGTTCGGACTGTGCTTAGTTATAGAGATCAGTGATTGTAGTTAACTTGGCTTAGTTATTAATGCAGTGACATAAGTTACATTGCTTAGTATGAGACAGCTGATCATACTACTTGCTAGTTATACAATCAAGTGATCCGTAGTTACCTCTGCTTAGCTTATAATCAGTGATCATAGTTACGTTGCTTAGTTATAATCAGTGATCATAGGTTGACTTGCTTAGTTATAATTCAGTGATCGTAGTTACTTGGCTAAGTTATGGAAGGATCAGATGATCATAGTTACTTGCTTAGTTATACATCAGTGCATCATAGTTACTTGCTATTATAATGCAGTGGATCATAGTTACTTGCGTTATATAATCACTGATTCACAGTATACTGTGCGTTAGTTATTAAATCAGTGGAGAATCATAGGTTACCTTGCTTAGGTATAGTCAGTGATCATAGTTATTGGCTATAGTTTTATAATCAGGATGATGCGTAGCTTAACTGTGCTTAAGTTTATAAATCCAGTGATTGTAAGTGTACTTCCGTTAGTTATATCAGATGATCATAGTTACTATGCGCTTAGTATAAATCGTGATCACAAGTTACTTGCGCTTAGGTATAAATCAGTGATCATAGTTTAACTGCTTAGTTTATAATTCAGTGATCGTAAGTTACTTGCTTAGTTATAATCAAGTGATGCGAGTTACTTGCTTAGTATTATAATCAGTGATCATAGTTTACTTGCTTAAGTTTAACACTCAGTGATCGTGTATGGTTATTGTTAGTCTAATCAGTGATCATAGTTACTTGCTAGTTATTAATCAGTGATCATAGTTACTTGCTTAGTTATAATCAGTGAATCATAGTTACTTGCTTAGTTTAATCAGTGAATCGTAAGTTACTTTGCTTAGTTATAATCTAGTGATCAAGTGTACTTGCTTTAGTTAAATCAGTGATCGTAGTTACTTGCTTAGTTATAATAAGTGATCGTAGTTACTTGCTTAGTTATATATCAGTGATCATAGTTACTTGGCTGTTATAATCAGCTGATGCGTCAGTTACGTGCTTAGTTATCTCAGTGATCTAGTTACTTGCTTAGTTATAATCAGTGATCATAGTTACCTTGCTTAGTTCAGTACATCAGTGATCCAACCCAGTTCTACTTGCTTAGTTATAATCAGTATGATTGTAGTTACTTGCTTAGTTTATACGATCAGTGATCACAGTTACTCTGCTTATATTATAATGCAGTGATGCATAGGTACTTGCTTACGCTTATAGATCAGTGATCACAGTGTACTTGCTTCAGTTATATAAGAATACAGGTAGCGTCATTCTGATCACTCAGTTTACCTACTGCTTAATTTTATGAATCAGTGATCGTAGTTACTTGCTTAGTTATCAGATCAGTTGAATCCGTAAGTTACTTGCTAAAGTTATATACAGTGATCGCAGATGTTACTCCTCGCTTTAGATTACGTCACTCCATCAGTCTCCGCGTAGTCTACTTTGCCTTAGGGTCTTATAACGATGCACGTGACCAGTAAGTTACCCTTTCGCTTAGATTTATAGTATGAGCAGTGATTCGTCAAGTATACCTTTGCTTTAGGTTCCACTAAAGATCAGTGGATCAGAGAGTAGTGACTGACTGCTTATTAGGTTAGTCAATCGGCCAGTTTAGATGGCACAGGTATACCTTGACTTAGTTAGCTAATTCAGATGACTTGTAGTCATTACTTGCTTATTAGTTAATAGATCAGTGATGCACAGTTACTTGCTTAGTTATAATCAGTGAATCATAGCACTTCTTAGTTATAAATCAAGTGATCGACAGTTACTGTGCCTTAGTTAATACATCGATGATCACCAGTAGGCGCGGCGTTTACGGCACCTAAAAATCTTGCTCAAAACTCGCGCGATGTACCAACCGTACAGGTGTTTGCGTGTGTGTGTGTGCGCGCGCGCGCGCGTGTGTGTGTGTGTGTGTGTGCGTGTGTGTGTGTGTTCGCTCGTGTCCGCTATGCCTCCGGTAAAATTTCTGTTTTATTTCATTTTATTTCCATTTCATATAAACCATAAAACACGACAGTTTGTTACAAATAATCATAGCAACGAGTAAATACATTATCACATGCATAAACCCTACTGAACTGCATAGAAATGCTGTGTTTGAGCATAACTCTCTTATCCGGCCAAGTCCCATATGCGGATGCGTGCCGGTCCCGACGTGGCCGGATAAAGGAGGTTGGACTGTAATTGGCAGCGGAAACTTCAAAGCAACGTCGTCAACAGTTTTGTCAGGACGTTCGAATTTCATTTGCGCACATCAATACAAATGGCTAATTGTTTTAGAAAGCGTAATTGTCAAAACGTTATGACGTTAATTTTGCGTAAAAGTGCGTAAACGTGAAGAGAGCGGTGAACATAGTGGAAGTACTCTCATTCTGTGATTGTAGTGTGGTAATGAGAGAGTGAAGTTCTACAAAATTACGCAAATTAAGTTATTTAGTAAGTGTGATTACACTGATTGTCATTAGTGGTTGTAGTAATAGTAATTAAATCTTTTTTTCATGTTAATTTTCGTACAACAGGACGCTGGAGATGGCAGGATGCAATCAATTTCAGGATGCTGGTTTTCAGTCCCTAGCCAGGGTGAGTTTCAGTTAGCAGTTCAGGCGATATTTTCTTTACTTTCCTGCTGTTTCTATGCCGTTTTCAAAACTTTTAGATGTGCTCAAGTCAATAGAAAGCAGAAATAAAAAATATATAATTAAATCAAATTAAAAAAGCTAGAATACAGCCGATATATATAGATCGTTTTTGGTTGGAGTTTATGATTAGGGTTAGAGTTAGGATTATCGTTAAGTTGATTATTTTGGGTTTGGAATAAGGTTAGAGGTAGGGTTTATGGTGAGGGTAACAGCTAGGGTTAAGAGAAGGATTTAGGGTTGGATTACTGGTTAGGGGTATGGTTCGAGTTACAGTACAGGGCAATGGCTAGGGTTAGGGTGTCGTATTGGGGTGAGGAGATATGATTACTATTAGGGCATACTCTCTCATGATTTATAAATTAAAATAACAGCACGTCATGTCTGCTTCAGCAGTTGCTGACAGCAATTCTGTGCGCCCACAAGCATGCGTACATGTGTGTATGTGCGGGCGAGCATGCCTGCGTGGGTGCGTGCGAGCGTGTACGTGGGTGTGTGCATTCATGCGTGCGTGCGTGTGTGCATGCGTGCGTGCACGCGTGTGTGCGAGCGAGCATTCACGCACGTGCGTGTTCTTGTTGCAGTCCTGTCATGAGCTTCGTCGACTGGACATGGAGGAGTGCGTACTCATCACAGATGCTACGCTAGGCCACCTGTCCATGGGCTGTCCCAAGCTAGAGAAGCTGGTGAGAAGCAATAGCTAGGCTAGACGAGACGATTCATGTAAATCACATACCAGAGATGCCAACCATTACGATTTATCCGTATATTATACGAATTTCTATTCCTTTTGCACCACTACGACCAGTTTGTATCAAACTACGAATTTCACTGTGATCAAAAGAGAAAAAAAATTTGTCAACTATTTCATTTTTTGTCAATTTATTGTCATTTTTGACCCCCAGAATGCAGGAAATTGCATCTCAGAATCAAAAATTTTTCCGGGGGGCATGCCGGACCCCCCTAGCAAACTCGGGTCACTACGTCACTCTCGAACTACTAATTTGATGGCCAGAAACTACAGATTGCTTCAAATATGTGTTGGCATCTCTGGCATACTACGTAACTACATACAACATACATGTTTCTACATCCTACTACATTCTGCATGTATTACTTAAAGCTGGTGAGAAGAAATAGCTAAGCTAGACGATACGATTCATGTTAATACTGCGTAACTACTCACAACGTGCTACGTACTAATTTCCTTCGTCGCATGTACTATGTAAATTAATTTAACCTGATATTTTTGCTCTTGCTGTGCATTACACTGCTACATGATCTGTGATATTTTTCCTGTCCTATCCTGACACTGCTATATGATCTGTGACATTTTCCACTCTCCTATCCTGACACTGCTACATGATCTGTGACATTTTTCCTGTTCTATCCTGACACTGCTACATGATCTGTGACATTTTTCCTTGTCTATCCTGACACTGCTACATGATCTGTGACATTTTTCCTGCCCTATCCTGACACTGCTACATGATCTGTGACATTTTTCCACTCTCCGATCCTGACACTGCTACATCATCTGTGACATTTTTCCTGTCCTATCCTGAC